AGAATCAAATTCAATATTTAGATAGTACACCTAAAACTAGTGTTGCATTAGTCCTAAGACTAAAAGCAAGTGATCCTAATCTAAAAAGCTCATATATTCACTTCCCAAAAGATAACAAAATCTTGGTTTTCATGTATTTCTTGTAAAAAAACTTTCCAAATAAATAAGGATCGGCTAGAGTTTCCAAATAAACCAAGGCTGATCTAGATGTTTTAGAAGAGCTGGAGTTCTCTGAAAGTTTTTAAGACTTCACAAGGGCAGCAATATAGTCTTAGACTTTTTTTGTACCTAGGAGACATCTGATTTACTGTTTTCATTTCTAAACTTGTAACTGATCTATTCAAACAAATTCTTCTTGGTTCTGTCTTAGAAGGTAGTATGTACTTATTCTAGAATTAAGTATGTATTTATTCTAGAAATAAGACTCCTTTATTCTAGGTTGTCTTGCATAATGGATGTTTCCAGTAATTTCAGGATTCTCTCCACTTCTGCAGCATTAGTTGAACTTTATCCTTTTCATTTTTCATTCTTTTTAATCAGGATTTTCTCTCTTTGTATTTTGTGATCCTAGCAAGGGGTTGGTCAATTACTCTGATTCTTGTCAAGCGCCGGTTCTTGGTTTTACTGATCTTGGTTTCTATTTGCTTCTGCTCTACTTTGTATTATTTCCTCCCTTCTTCCTGCCTTTTCTCCAGTTCCGTCTAGCGCAATGTTAGATCATTTGAGATTTTTTCTTCTTTCTGTGGTCCATATTTTAAGGAACTTCCCTTAGTACTGCTTGGAGTCTATCCTTGTCAAAGGTCTACATCATTAGAGGAAAATGTGCATATTTCCTTTGGGGGTAAAAGTTTCCATACACAGCTATTAAGTCCATCTCATTGATTATTCCTTTTAACCTCAAGATTTCCTTATAAATTTTCCACCTGCTTTTTCTGTCCAGTTCTGTAAGTACTGATGTATATCTTGGATGCATATATGTGGGTTTTGTATATAACCAATGTTTATTGGCTAAAAATCATTTTGCATACTTGGATACTCCCATATGCTGGAAACACACGCTATTAGTAACGCTAAAGGTTAATAATTAAAGCATCACTAATCACTATCTTTTGTTAGCTTTCCTTTGGTTGAATGTCTACTGTATCAGCTATGGGAAGAGCAATTCCTGTCCTTTTCTATGATTGCTGGCTTGAGCACCTCATGCCTTCCTCTCATTTGTACATCTGCTTTTATTACTGATGTGAGACTTTTTTAGTCATAGTTTAGAAGATCCTGCTTTCCAGCCATCTTGTCACTTTGTGTTAACTGTGAGATTAGACCATTCACATTTACAGCAATGTCAATATATGGGTTTAATTACTACTTATCTATCCTATGATTTTTAAAAAATTTCTGTGCTATTTTTCCCCATATTTATCATTACTATCCTTTTTATGTAGATGGCTGATGATGGTGAATCTCTCCATTTCACTGTTTGTTGTTGTTGGGTTTTTTTTTTTTTGCTATTAATTATCTCTGCTCCAAATTGTTTTGTGCTTACTATGAGGACTATACTAGTCTCTGTATCTGTTTTCTTTAAAGGACGTGTGCTGATATTGGCTGGTCATCTTTAGCCTAAACAGATTCCGTCTGATTCTTCCTCCTCTTTGATGTTTTACTGTTATCCGTTTTATACTTGTTTATATTTCTGACTCTGTATTTCTCCTGTCACCATGCTTGCGGGTTGATGTTATTTTTCTTTCCCTGTGCAAGGATTCATTTCAACACTTTTTTTAAAGTGCAGATCTGGTGGCGAAAACTATTAGATTTTGTTTATCTAGAAAAGCCTTTTTTCTCCTCTGTAACTGAATGTTAATCCTTCAGGGTGAAGTTTTTTGGCTATAAACCTGTATTTTTGGCTAGAAATCTGAACTGCAAATATGCTATTTTATTCTCTGCTGGCCTGAGAGTTTCTGCTGAGAAATGTGATTGTGGTCTAATACCTTTTTTATTACAAATTTTGGATGTTATTACTTTTTAATTTATCATTAACTTTTTTATTTAGAAACTAGAATTTCCCCCCTTCAGTATTCTAATTAATCTTTTCCTCATATTTGTGACATTTTCGGGCTGGAGCGATAGCACAACGGGTAGGGCATTTGCCTTGCATGCAGCCAACCCAGCCGGCCTAAGTTCGATTCCTCCGCCCCTCTCGGAATGCCCGGCAAGCTACCGAGAGCATCCCGCCCACACAGCAAAGCCTGGTGAGCTACCCATGACATATCCGATATGCCAAACACAGTCACAACAAGTCTCACAATGTTACTGGGTCCGCTTGAGCAAATCGACGAACAATGCGAAGAAAGTGACAGTGACACTGTGATATTTTCAACTATCATTTGTTTGAAAAGGTATTCTTTTTTTTTTTATGACTTGATCAATCACCAAAAATGGTTTTTTTTTTCATTTTTTTCCCTTTATTTTATTTTATTTTTTTACAGTTGTAGATTTACAATTTTTTGTGCTTGGGTTTCAATTATACAATGATCAGATACCCATCCCTCCACCAGTGCCCATTTTTCACCACCATGGATAATATCCCTCCCACCCCCATCCCCCCATCCCCCCCGGTCTCTGTGGCAGGGCAATCCCCTGTGTTCTCTCTATCTAAAAGGTATTCTTCTTACTCTCTCTTTCCACCTTCTGTTATCCAAGTATTCTAATACTCCCATTTCTAATGAGTTTACATATCTTGAAAGGTGACTTAAATTTTCTTAAATCATATTTCCCCACTAATTAATTACTGAATTTGTTTATTTTCTGTGTCAATGTGAATTTAATGTATAGCGCTGATTTATTCATAACAATTATTTTAAGTTATATATTAGACTCCTAACTTTTGTGATCCTGAAAATGATTTTGGAAGGATTCACACCATCACTAGATTTAACATTTTTGGGAAATTTGTTTTGTTTTCCACTAGGAGGCACTACAGTTCTTGACTTGAAAATTTATTGTTTCCTTCTAAGATCTGCCAGATTCTGCTCAGAAAGGCCTAAACTACGGAGTTGAATTTTGCATCCTAGGTTTGGATGACTGTCAAAGCTTACCAGAAGGGGCTTGGGGGAGGGGGTTTCTCCAGCCAGGATACGTATACCCTAGGCAGCAGTCTCAGCGGCTGCACCAGCCCATCACTTCAAGGAGTCTGCCAGTGCCTTGCCAACACCTGCCCGACCTCAGTGTCCAGACACCTTCCTTGCTTTATAAAACAAAGGGTGGGGGGTAGGGGAGACTGATCTGAAGACCCCCTCTGCTGGAATCGAGTATGTAGAACAAGGGTCTAATCTGGCATTTAGCACAAAATGGTGGGGGGAGTGGGCCTCTTCCTGCAACGCTCTGTCACCCTAAACTGCCCGTCCTGGGCTGGTCATGGCAGCCAGTCAGAAATGGTGAAAGTGTCTCCCCAGGACCCTAGTGTTGTCCTGAAACACTTGGTGCCCCTCCAGCCCCGCCCCGCCTCGCCCTGCCTGGTTGGCCTGTGACTCCCACTGCCCAGGCGGCAAGTAGTGGGTAGCAGGTCTCGCGAGAGGCAGAGAGCACCAGCCCTGAAGCACTCGCCCTCACAGTCTGTACTATGGATCCCAAGTACTCTGGTGATAAACTGGACAAGTTACAGAAGACACATATTTGATTTCTAGATTTTACTCTTTAATGGATTTCCCCCCTACTGAAGTCTATGCCTCTATTTTATTTATTTATTTAGTGTCACCATGAGGTACCGTTACAGACTTACAAACTTTCGTGCTTACGTTTAAATCATGCAAGAACCGAGTTCCCATCTCTGCACCAGTGCCCATTCTCTACCACCAGTGTTCCCAGTATCCCTCCCACCCCCCCCACCCTGGCTCCCCCCACCTCCGTGGCAGGCATAATCTCTTTTACTCTCTTTCTCCTTTTGGGTGCTGTGGTTTGCAATACAGGTATTAAGTGGCCATCATGCTTGGTCTATAGTCTGCTTTCAGCACACATCTTCCCTCCATAACGGGCTCTCCAAGCATCCTTTACTTGGTGGCCACTTCTCTATCTCTTATTCCTCTATTTCTGTGGGTATGACCAAATATTCCCCCAGATTCAATATCTAATAAAAGCATGTTGTCAATGACAGCCAATATAGTCTACCTTTTGACAAATGCTTCATTCAAAAACTTAACATTGGTATTTAACTTTTATATTCAATACCAAAAATGAGTATTGTTTGATAATTTGAGTAGACTAAGTCTCACACTTTTCAACTCTTAAACAACGAAAGTCTGAAAATTTTCAAAAACATGTTTGCCAGTGTTAATTGTTGGTGCTACAGCACAGCGGGTAGGGTGTTTGCCTTGCATGCAGCCAACATGGCCCACCTGAGTCCGATTCCTCCACCCCTCTCGGAGAGCCCAGCAAGCTACCGAGAGTATCTCACCTGCACGGCAAAGCCTGGCAAGCTCCCCTATTCAATATGCCAAACACAGTAACAAGTCCTACAATGTTACTGGGCCCGCTCGAGCAAATTGATGAACGGGAGGACAGTGACAGTGACAGTGATGTTTGCCAAAATGAAAAAGTATTGCAAAACAGTAAACATGAGGAAGATTAAAGAATGTATAGTTACAAACATTTTATTCAAAGAATAAAATATATTAAAGATTATCTAATACAACTAAATCTACATGGTTTACAACCAAAAATATTTTTAAATAGCAATTAAATGAGAAAGGATAAGGTATAGTTTTATTAACTACTATCACTTAATTTTTTTAAAGACTGTAAATTGACATTTTCTTAACACTAATGAGTATTATGTTTTAAGTACTCATGTAAAAGGAGATGGTAGATACTGATGTGCATTTAATTATCAATATCAAAACAAGAGAAACATAATATTATTATAATTTTGTTTAAGTGTGTAAGCAACATAAAATAAGTGTTGTACACTATTCTGCTTAGAAATATAAATGTTAAAAAAAAACTGGACTTACTGGAATGGAGATTTTTTTCAAATTACAATCCTTTTCCAAAAGCTCATAGACGTATTTTGTGATGATCTAGGAAGGAAGGAAAATAAAACACATTAAGATACAATGTCACCAATTAGTAAGCTTCATATCAATTATTAAGTAGTTGTTCTGAACTGGTATGTATCTTGAATTGCTTTGCAATTAAAGATTCTTTATTAATTACCTATAATGGCTTACTTACTGCTACAATATGAATAAATGTGGACCTTCACTAAGAATTAATATTAAGAAACTCACAAATCTTGAAAGGGAGTAAAACGTTGCAGAGATAACCCCTCATCCCATGCCAGGCTGATTTCATCTGAGAGCCTTGAAGGGGGGCAGGTGTGACCCTCAGACTGCCCCCCAAAAATCCCGGCAGCCTCAAACCTCCAGAACCCAATTGCTGCCATGCTCACAGCTGACCTTCAAAGGCTCATCCTGAGCTGCCCACACATGAGAATGAATCTAGTGAAAACCCAAGTATGCGGGACTTGTGACTGAAATTTACAGGCTTCCCAGACTTGGGAATGAGGCCCCCCTTCCTATCTCCCCATGCTTCCTGGTCCCTGCCAGTCATACCCAAGAACTTCCTCTGGAGCCACATACGCTCATTATCAACCATGTTCCAGAGACTCACAAATAGATCTCGGAAGAGAGCAACACGCTGCAAAGATGCCTCCAGACCGCAAAATCACCATCCAGTCAAAAATTGAACTCCAAGTCTAGCACCTTAACGAAAATGTTAGAATTCCTGCTACTGATATACTAAGAGTAACACACGATATTTTCTGGGATGTAAGGTAGAAGGCAACCAATCTTGATTAAAATGTTCATAACAAGCAATACAAAATAAAGTATTTAGCATCTGCCTTTGGGGCAGGCTTGAGTGGTGGCAGAAAAATTTGAAGCAACGGTGGTGGGAAGGTGAAATGTTGGTGGGATTGGTGTTGAAATATTGAATGTAATAAATTATTGTGAACAACTTTATGAAAATAAAATTTGAACAAAAGAAAAATTAATATTAGTTAACAGAATTAAACAAAACATACACACACACACACACACACACACACACAGGCTTTTGGTTTCTCAAAACAATATTTTAAAGCACACTTTTCCAACTTTCCAGAATTATTTTCCCCTGATTTTGGGATAAGTATTAATTCTGGTACAGGTCGTTGGGGTATTTATTCACTCAATCAAAAAGTCATGGGAATCAAATATATGGCTCCCCAAAAAAAAATTCTCATCATAACTTCTGAAACCTGTGAATATGTTACCTGGTATAAGCAATATAACTGCAGATATAACTGAGGTTAAGGAACCAATCCAATCTAATTATAAAAATCTTTAGAAGCAGACTGTAGCATTGTAGCACTGTCCTCCCGTTGTTCATCAATTTGCTTGAGCGGGCATCAGTAATGTCTCTATTGTGAGACTCCTTATTACTATGTTCTGTATATTGAATACGCCACGGGGAGCTTGCCAGGCTCTGCCGTGCAGGCAGGATATTCTCTGTAGCTTGAAAAAAAATGAGATGTCCTCTAGGTATGAGGTCATCCTACCCACTTTAAAGTCAGTAAGGAAACCAAGGACCTACAACTGGAAATAAGTAAATTCTGCCAACAACTCAAACAAGCGGTAAATGGGTCTTCCCTACAGCCTTAGTGCAAAGCTAGGATGAATATAAACACATCCAGTTGTGCCTTACCTCCCAGACCCTCCCACAAAAAGTATCAGATTAGGGATGGATTTGGGTAATTTGTTTGGAGATACACTCAGACCAGAAAGGTCTCCACCATTACAAAAAAAAAAAAATTCTTGGGTGTGGAGAATTATATAGAATTCTATTAGAAATCAGTCATGTCGAAGAAGGGTAGAATGACATGTTCAAAGTTTTAGGGGAAAAAAATAAAAACAACAATCAATCTAGAGCTCTTTATCCAGTGAAATTATCCTTCCAAACTGAAAGCAAAGAATGCTTAGAAAAATAAAGGTTGGATTTTTACCTCCACATACATCTGCTTTGAAAAAAATATTTGAAAAAAATTTACAGACAAGAAATATTATGTAGTCTGACTTATTTTGCTTAGCATAATACTTTCCATGTAGTACCACTTGTATGTAAATTTCATGACTTCATCTTTTCTGACAGCTACATAGTACTCCATTGTGTAGATGTACCAAAGTTTCTTTAACCAGTCATCTGTTCTCGGGCACTCAGGTTTTTTCAGATTCTGGCTATTGTAAACAGTGCTGCAATGAACAAACAAGTGCAGATGTCGCTTCGACTATACTTTTTTGCCTCTCTGGGGTATATTCCCAGAAGTGGTATTGCTGGGTCAAATGAGAGCTCAATTTCTAGGTTTTTTAGAATCGTCCATACTGTTTTCCACAAGGGCTGAACCAGTCGGCATTCCCACAAGCAGAGAAGGAGGATCCCTTTCTCGCCACATCCACGCCAACACAGGTTGCTTTTGTTGTTTTGGATGTGGGCCAGTATCTGTGGTGCGAAATGATTTCTCATTTTTGTTTTGATCTGTATCTCCCTGATGATTAATGATGTAGAGCATTTTCTCATGTGCCTTTCAGCCATTCGTATTTCATCTTTGAGAAAGTTTCTGTTCATTTTGTCGCCCCATTTTTTGATGGGTTTGCACGTTTTCTTCTTGTGGAGTTCAACCAGTACTTTGTATATCCTTGATATCAACCCCTAGTCAGATGTGTATTCGGCGAATATCCTTTCCCATTCTGTAGACTGTCTTTGTATTTTGGTCACTGCTTCTTTTGAGATGCAGAAGCTTCTTAGTTTAAGATAGTCCCATTTATCTATCTCTGTTTTCACTTGCTCGGCCAGTGGCGTGGCATCTTTGAAGACACCATTAGCTTCAATGTCACGGAGGGTATTGCTGACTTTATCTTCAATGTACCTTATGGATTCCAGTCTGATCTTGAGGTCTTCAATCCATTTTGATCTTACTTTTGTACATGGTGTTAGGCACAGATCGAGCCCATATTTTTGCATGTAGCCGTCCAGTTTCGTGCATGCTTACCTTGTACCACACACATCTTAGCATTTTTCTGGTCTTGAATTGAATAAAAAGTGAACAAGATACTCTCTACCCTTACAAAATTATTACATTTAAATTAGAAGATTATAATGTAGTGAGGAGATGTACATCTACATGGCAGGGGTGATACTGAAAATCTTCCCAAGAAAGTATTTCAGACCCTTTTGAGACTGTAGTTAAGAAACAAAATGGGATAGAGGTCAAAGCAATAGTACAGGGGATAGTGTGCTTCACTTGCCGCAGCAAACTTGGGTCCCATACCCAGTACCACACCTGGTCCCCCCAGCACCATCAGAAATGATTCCTGATTAAAGAGCCAGGAATAAGCCCTGGGAAAAGTCAGGTATGGCCTGAAAACAAACCAAAAACGCAATTTTCTTTCTTGGTTGTCCAATAGTCACAAATCTAATTCAATTGACTACCTATGAATTAGTAAAACATGAATTCTCAAACATTTAAAAATAAATAACAATAAAGTCAGTCTAGTGAATTGTTGCAGAAATCTAGTTGTAATATGACAGAGTCAAAGTAAAGGATGGGTAATTAGTAAAATATATTGCATTTTCTCTCAGTTTTCCTCTGCTTCAAACAATTATGAATATGATATTTGTATTAACTGGATACATACAGAAGAGCTGAATAAACAGTTTTACTTTACCCAGATCTTTCATTCTAACATTATTCATTTATTATGCAGGGAATTTAATATTTTGGGATACATTTGCTTTTAATACAATCTTTATTAAGATTATCCTGGAGGGGTTATGGGGGTAGAGATAGCTCACAGAGCTGAGTACTTGCTTTGCATGCAGGTGGCCAGGATTTGGCTGTAAACATGGCTTGGACCCCAGCACAGCGGGACCAAGCCCCACCCTGCAGCACTATCCCCAGCAGGAAGCTGAGTAGCTCCTGAGTTTTACTAGATACAAAAGGAGAAAAAAAAAATCCTATCTATTTGGTGCTACTCAGTTCCACTTTGCTTAATGATAAAAATAGCATTTTAAAACCTCGGTGGCTTTTAAGAAATCAATCTTATTCATTTCATCTCTAAACAGGCAAAGTACAACTCACAGGAGATTTTTAGCTCAGAGCAATGAGTTGATTTTGAACATGTTTATCCCCAAAGCAGTATGTATGTTAGGAACATTCACATAGTGCGATTTTTACCTTCAGGGTTGAGCAGTTTATGCTTCAACAAAACCATATTGAGCTCGATTCCAACAGGACACAGCAATACTTGTAGTGTTTCTATGAGTATCAAAAGTCAGTAAATAAAGTAGTTTTCACATTAATATTAAGCTATGTCTTCACTTTCAGACATAATGGAGGAAATCTGAATTGCTTTTAGTAAAGCAATGAATACCAATGCACATCTATCAAACCAGTCTTGGAAATTATCTAGTTATTTTTAAATACCTGTGTGCACAATCAGGTTTACCTTCTATTTTTCTCACTCTCATATTTTAGCAATTATTTCATAAATGACGCATAAACATTTTTACTTTTTTGCTATTTTCAATTCAGTCTGATGCTCCATTAAAAGCCAATTTCAACCTATTTAGTTTACTTAAATCTAAACTAAATTTAGATTTTGTTTTCATTGTATTCTGTATCTTTCCTTAGCCTGTTTTTTCTGTCTTTTGAGGATGGTCCCTAGCGATGCTCAAGAAATTGTAGAGTGGCAGGGATTGAACCACGAGCACAGCCCTTTACAGCAACTCTGCTACCTCTTTTCCTATGGTTCCATAGACTAAGATTTTCTTTATTCCTGTCTTTCTGGTATATGTTTCTATTTCTCTGGTGACATCTTTTAGTTTTAACAAATATTTGATATGTCCAAGTCTAAAATTAAAGAGCTAGCTTATTTTTTTTTGTTTGGTTTGTTGTCAGGACTTATTCCTGGCTCTGCACTCAGTATCACTGCTGGCAGCAAGGACTATATGGTTACAACGAATAGAACCTGTGTCAGCTGTG